ATGAGGTAGACTCTAATATTGGGCTTGAACGCCTCCTATACCTTAAAAAAAAAAGATTAACCTGAGTTGACTGAACATCAAGCTTTACATTTTGTATTGTCTCGGCCACAGACCCACAGTTAATGAGCCGACAACATGCGACGTGACTCATTGGGCCAATCTTTATAAACCGTGGCCCATGGACAGACTTGGCCTACTAGTATTTGTTTTGCGTAGAGCCCATTGATTTCGAAACTTGATGGAGTGGGTTCGGAGCAGCCCATCTTTCGCAGGTCACAGTAGTCTAAGCAAAGTCTTAAGTTGATCAGACCCGAAGGAGGCGTTGGCAACTTAACAGGAAAAGAAAAGGAGAAAAAAAAGGAAGCGTTGGCACCAAGTTTCGCTGAAGAAACTCGCGATTCTTTGACCCACCACATGTTCTCCTTCGAGTTCGTGGTCCTATAATGTCAATGTTTTTTTCCCTCCTTTTTTGATTCGTTTTAGTTTTCATACACATATTTCTTTGTTCTATTTACTTATTCATCACTTACAAGGTTTATAAGGATCCGTACCTCTTTGAATCATTAGTTCCAACAACCTATTTGCTTCGTCTAATTTCCCTCTCTGGCAAAGTTCATTTATGACCCATTAAACGTGATCACGGAAGGCTGCACACCTTGATTCATCATCACAATAAGTAAACTTTTACCCTTCTCCCAATCACCCACACAAAAAAAACCATGAATTAGAGTGGTATAAGTGACTGCGTTTGGACTAATTCCTGAATCCTTCATTTCCAAAAGTAATTGTCTAGCCTTCTCAATTAATCCATCCTTACAAACACCATCAATTATAGTATTATAAGTAACAACATTCGGTCTACAAACAACAACAATCATTTTCATAAACAACTCCCTTGAATCCATAATCTCTCTCCACAGAGACCTTTAATCAAACCATTAAAAGTCACAGCATCGGGGCTGAAACCCTTCTTCAAAATCCCCCCAAATCATCCAAAACCCTTTTGATATTACAGAAGCAATTTATCAAAATGTTAAAAGACATTAAATCTGGAGACAGCCCAGTTGAATTCAACCTCTTATAAAGCGAAATCACTTCATAATAATGCTTCTTCTTTGCAAGTGCACCCAACAATATGTTGAATGATGACATTGGAGAAATAGGTTGGGAATGAATCATGTAATCAAAAAAGTAAAAAAAACTTCATTTAGAGTGAAGTTACCTGATCGACAATTTTCTTTGAGGAATTTAGCAAGTGGGTTATGCTGAGGGGTTTTTTTAGGAAGAATATAAAAGCTCATTTTGGGTGCTTGAAGTCGTGACATTCTGCAATGGGGCCTGAAAGCCATGAATTGAAGAGGGTTTATGTGGGTTTTGTTAAGCTTTTTGTAAAGGGTAAGGTGAGGAGTAAGCACAATGCAAAATGCAATCGCCATATGAGTTGAAAGAGAAAAACGTTTTTGATTTCACAAACAACCCTTAGTTTTTGTAATATCACCTAAACTTCATTATTTTGAAAATTGTTCATTTATCACCCCCTTCAATTAACTGCACTGAGGTTAAAAATGGAAATTTACATTAAATTTGATTAAAAGATATTATTCTGTTCATCGATTGTTGCTTCAATTTTGTTTTCTTTTTGATAAATTTTATCACACAATCAAGTAATATAAATTAAAAATTTTGAAGATTTTGTTTTTGACTTTCTAGAATTTATGTAAATGGTGGTATATTAACACGTCAAATTTATTAAAATATTATAAAGCTGACTAATATTAAAATAATGTTCTATATAATTTATTTCACTTGTAGTTTTCATATAGCTTAAAATTTGTGTAAAATATTTATGTCAAAATTTTAATTTAAAAACTCTTATCTGATGTTTAGAAAACCGGACCGAGCCTTGACTTTATCAAAGGCCTATTCACGGTTTGATCGATCGGTACGTCAACAACAAAAATATTTTAAAAAAATTATAAATTAGTATTTTAAATTGTAGTATATTATAACAATATCTCTAAAAAAATTAATTTGTCCCTAAAAATTTATTGTATTCCAAAAAATACCCAAAAAGTTACAAATTAATCCCTAAAAGTTTGAAATACTAAAAATACCGTTAGAAAATTACATTAACCCCTACAGATTTAAAAATGTAACAAAAACCCCTTATAACTTGAACCGGACCGAAGCGGTTGCCAGTTCCCGATTCGACCAGCCAGTCCAATTCGATTTTCAAAACATTGATCTTATCCCATTTACTATTATACTGTTACATATTAATACAAAATTTGTGAGACAGACATGTGCACTCAATACTACATGCCAACATTTGTGATGTGCAAGTCTAAGTGATTATAGACTTGCGCATGAACAAGTCCCATTGAAAAAGCATCATTGAAATTAAAAAAAAAAAAAAAAAAAAAACAAGGCTTCAGATTACTCTCAACAGATTCACTATTTGGCATCCATGAAATGAAAAGAAGAGCAAAGAAGTCAAAAGCAAGCAAAGAAATATGAAATATAACAGATTCAAATACGCCATAACAAAAAACACAATACAAGGCTGTTCATTCAACACAGCCCTAGAATTATATACTCTAAAATTAGAGAATCCTAATTTTGGATTTTATATGTAAAAATACATACATGTTTTGTTATATCCTTATGTAGAATGCTAGCCTTCTAGTCAAGCACCACCTGCATTCACCGTATTCTAATTGAGGCTATCTATGATATATGCAGAAAGCCTATAATATTGTCAACACTCACAACAATTGACCTTTTTAGCAAGCCATCTTTCATTCTCCGAAACAAATCCTCACATTCTTCCTGCAAAAAATACTACTAGAGTAACTATTTGCTTTGCAAATAAATCAAAACCTTTTGGCAAAAAAAGTTGAAAAATCAACATTTTGTCACTCTTATACAAAACTAGTTTTCTAGCTTGCTCTAAAAGTACCAATAGTTTCACTTCAATATCTCCATTTTTTGAAAGGAAAGCAACATGCGTTCTAACAATATTGTTACCTTAGTGAAGTCATCATCCGACAACTTGCTGATTGATATCTCTCTTTGAGTATTCGAAACACGAACGAGGATTTATGCATTATGCTTGAGGTTCTCTTCGTGCCTGTAATCATGCAGCTTGTCAAAACAATATAAAGATGGAATTAACTTTAATATTTCATTTACGCAAATGAAAATGTAAATTGTGTAGAAAAATATCAATCAATGACTACTTAAAAGACAATTCACATTTACGTTGAGAAAATCACCTATAAGCATTTTTCTCCAAATGGTCACTTTGGTCAAATTTCACTCTCACAAAACTTCCAATTACTTTAGCATCAAATTTCTTTGCTGGCTTTAGTAGCTCCACTAAACTCTTCCTCAAGTAAGAAAGCTTGATGTTTTCCGAGACTATAGACGTGAAACAACTTTTCTGCACAACAACAACTGATCTTGAGGAAAATCATGTCATGGAAGAGGGATTTTAGTTTTGAGCCTCTTCTTGTTTTGCTATTTGTTATACATAACCGAAAAAAAAAAAAAAAAGCATCTATGATATTATAGGATTATCACATCATCCGTAACATGTCAATATTAAAAAAAACATCATCCATATCAAATGTTTGGGTGGATTTTAATCTATCTACCCGTGGGAATGTGTCAACGCATGAGGCTTAGGCCATCAAGTTTGAGTTGTTTCTTACCTAAGCTAGAATGAAAGAAGTTATAGTTAACCAAAAAGCAACACAAGCCAACCCATTTATATGAGTGATCAAATGCATAATCTTTTTTGATAAATTTTACAGATCTAAAGAAATGAATTTTGGAATCAATTTGTAATGATTTTAAAAAGATTTTTATCTATTTTTTTTTTCAAAATTTTGTAATAGTGCCATATTCAATATGCCACAAGAATTGGAAAACCAAAAAGTTTCAACAGTAGAATAATATGATTTACATAACATCTCAAATATAGTTTTCTTACACCCACTGCAGTATACACCAATATTTCTATTTTCTCTCTAATGAATCTCTTACTGTACACAAAATTTGATGACAGTAATAAATTACAGGAGCCAATCAATTACAGAAACTTTTTCTAGCAAGTGTAATCAAACAATGACCATTAAAGACCTTTATGC